GTGTAGTCGGTGTTACCTTCAGGGATTTTAATCTGTTGCACCGGTCCTTTCTGAAGCGGTTCCCTTTGTTTATTTGGCTTCTGTTTGCTGTCCCTTTGGTGTCTAAGTTCCGCCCTGACATAGGCAGGCAGAGGTGATCTCTTATTTAGGCTCGCTAGTTCAGTTCAGTCCTGCTACGGGGAGGGCGGGGCGCTGCAGACAGATACCTCTCTGTGTGGATAGCACTCACCGTGTTCCGGCCACACTGGGTTTGCCCTGCTCATGGGTGTCTGTGATTTCCCCGTCTACACTGCTCAGGCTCCTGGCTGCTCTATATGGAGCAGGCCCTGCGTTGAGTGCGGTTCTAGTTTTCGGGTACTCCACAAAAGCGCAGATTCGGTTGTGCCTGCATTTTGTGCCTTCCCCGGCCTGAGCGGCTCTGGCAGCCAGGGGCGTGGGCACACTATCCCCGCGTGCAGTGCACCTTTTCCCTCCACGGCCCCACCGCGCGCAAGTCGGGTGCCTGAGGCTTGTGTTTGTTCTCAGGAGCTGGCCCCTAGCCGTGACCCTCCCTCCCGGCGGCGGATGTCGACCATCCAGAATCTCAGGAAGTCTTTAGATAGAAACCGGAGGCCTGTTTGCCACGTGGGAGGGGTGGCTTCTCTGGGGCTGAGTTTGCCCCTTTCCCCTACCCCCTGCCTCCTACCTCCAGCGGGGATGGGCCGGCTCTTCTCTGGACTTTCTCAGTCCCTTTGTTTTGCAAACGGCCGGCAGTGTGTTAGGGCTGGTGAATTTTCTCCCTTGCTATCCCACAGTTTAAAAGAGCTCACTCCAATTGCTCTCAGGCCTTCAGGACCAGTCCTTACCCTAAGCAATGCCTCCCGGTCCTCTCTGTTCTGCCACCGCTTGTTAGTGTCAGGTGCGGGCGTCTGGGGTACTTTTCTGCTGCGAGTTGCTTTTAGGCATGTAATCTGTGGGCCTTATTTAATTTTTCCTCCCAGTTAGGTTGCCCTCCAAAATTCAAAAACTTCCCCCAGACCCGCCAGTGTGAGGGTTTCCTGATGATTGGAAACTTCCTCTTTTAAGATTCCCTTCCCGGACCGGACTCCATCCCTAGCTCTTTTGTCTCTCTTTTTATCTTTTATATTTTGTCCTACCTCCCTTCGAAGACAATGGGCTGCTATTCTGGGGGCCTGATGTCCTCTGCTAGCGATCAGAAGATGTTTTGTGAAATTTGCTCAGTGTTCAATTGTTCTTTTGATGAATTTATAGGGGAGAAAGTGGTCTCCCCATCCTATTCCTCCGCCATCTTGGCTCCTCTCCCAAACATGAGTTGTTAAGGGCCATCCCAGTTGTAACTTGAGAGGAAACCCAGATTCCTGCCGCAACTCAAAAAATCCAATGGGACTTCCCCCTCACCGCGAGATGAGGCTCGATTCACCTGCCTTGCATGCAGAGCAATTCTGTGTTCCATATCAAACAAAAAAGGAGCCTTGACTTCTTTTATGGAACTCCAGAGAGTCCCCAAGAACACTGTCACAAGTCTAGAGGAACTCTGAGGTCACTGCAGCAACACAAAAGAGCTCTGTGTACCCCAAATCAGCTCAAGATGAGGACTGATTCCCCTGAATTGGCTGGAGGGCATTCCCCCACATTGGCTGCAGGGCACTGCCCCAGTCCCCATCAAACACGACAAATGGCTTGACTTCCTTTAGGCAACTCAAGAGATTCCCCGAGAACACTGTCCCAAGTCTAGAGGAACACCGAGTTCAGCACAGAAACTGGACAAGACCTCCGTGTACCCCAAATCATCTCGAGATGAGAGCTGATTCCCTGGCTTCGACTCAACAGGAATGCCACCTTTCCACAAGCACCTCAAGAGGAGGCTTATCTCAGCTATAGGTATGTGAGAGGGACCCTGAGTTTGCTGCCTCAAGTGGAATGGACACCGAGTTCCCCTCACTAGAGTTAAGGCCTGATTTCCCTGCAGTGACTCAAATGCAAGCCCGTGTTTCCTCTCACAACATGAAGGGATGTCTGAATGTCCTGTTGAGACCCTAGAAAGAGCCCTAGTTCCCCGCCTCATCTCCACAGGAGGCCTCACACCCCTTTGACAACTCAAGAGGAATGTGGAATTCCATGCTTCAAAAGGAGACCATGCCTGACTACTCTTGAAAATTGATAGGAATCTCAATATCCCTGTGGCAACTGGAAAGGGACACTGGGCCTCCCGCCTCAACTCGAAAGGCATCCCTATTGCTCTGCCAAGACTCGAGGAGAATCCCGAAATGTCCCTCGAAACTAGACAGGAGTTCTGACGTTGCTGAAAAAACACGAATTTTTAAGGTCCATCCCCATCATAACTTGAGAGGAATCCCTAGGTTCCTGCAGCAACTGGAGAAAGACCATGAGACTTCCCCCTCACTGCAAGATGAGGCTCTATTTTCCTGCACTGGCCAAAGAGCCATCCCAAATTCCCCATCAAACAAGTCAGGCGGCATGACTTCTTTTGGCAATCCAGACATTTCCCGAAAACACCGTAGAAAGACTACAGGAACACCGAGGTCAGGAGAGCCACTCCAGAAGACACCGTGTACCCCATATGATCTTGAGATGAGGGCCAATTCTCATTCTTCGACTGAAGAGGAATTCCGATGTTCCACTCACACTTCCCCCTCACCGCGAGATGAACCTTGCACCACCGCAATCCTTGCACAGTCATTCCCGGTGGAGAGCAGTACTGCCAATGAGGAAGTAAGCAGTGGCAGTGTTATTGGCATGATTGGGGACCCTCCTGGGGCCTTTACTCATATGTAACCCACAAGGACCTCTGGGGAGCGGCTTTGGCCCTTTCTTTCCACACTGACTAAGGTGGGAGCAAAGCTAGCTCTGCAAACGTCTGAAGGGAGCAGTGGTATGGATTTTCAAGCTCTTCTATTATGCAGCACTTTAGGTCCCAGTGGAGCAAAATGGGTTTCTTGTAGCCCCTAGGTCTTCTATGCAATTCCTGAAACTGGGTGTTTTCCTGTTAAAGTCAAGAATTTCCCGACAGACCTTGTCTGACTAGAGCTCTCCTCCAGAGCAAAGGGGACGCCAGAAATGTGTGCAAGTGGCTGATCCTTCCCATTTCAGAGTGGGGCTATTCCCTATTATCCCAATCCCATGGATAAGTGCCCTTAAGAAAGGAACTCTAAGAAGCGCTTTTCCAGGAGCCTGGGACAGGAAATTCGCAGGATGCGGGAAAAGCGAGCCTCCTTCAGGAAAGAAGAGACAGCAAGCTGCCGTGTGCTTGCCAGCCTCTATTTGAAGCAAGATGTTTGCTGATACAACGGGAGACCTCCAGTTCTGCTCAGAGCAGCAAAGTTCTAGCGAGAGGGCCGTGAAATGCCCGTTTCTTTTGCAATCCTTGCACAGGTATTCCCGGCTGAAAACAGTACTGCCAATGAGGAAGCAAGCAGCGGCAGTGCGATTGGCATGATTGAGGGCCCTCCTGGGCTAAGCCCTTCAAAGGGGCCTTCACTCACAGCATCAGAAATATTTGGATATAATATTTTCTGAGGTGGAGTGTCTGGCGGAGAGTCATCAGCACCTGTCCAAGGAGTCCATGGCAGGAAACAAGCCAGCTAATGCAGTCCTGCACAAAGTTCTGAAACAGCTAGAAGAACTGCTGAGTGACATGAAAGCTGATGTGACTCGACTCCCAGCCACTATTGCCCGAATCCCCCCAGTTGCTGTGAGGCTACAGATGTCAGAGCGTAATATTCTCAGTCGCCTGGCAAACCGGGCACCTGAACCACCTCCACAGCAGGTATAGGACCATTTTCCTCTGGCCAGCTGTTCAACAGAGCCATTCCGCAACTTGGAAACTTTGCTGTCTGTCCCTAGCTTTACAGGCTGGGCAGCGGGGTGGGCTTACTAGTGAGTTCTCTTGGGATCTGGTGGGTTGCTGTGGTCTTGGAACTCTTGACTCCCTTGGCCTTCTCTTCCTATAGGTAGCCCAGCAGCAGTGAAGACCCAGATGGAAAATACCACCTCCACCGCTGAGCAGTGACCTTCCTCACTTTCCCTTGCCCAGATTCTCCCCTGGGGGCCCGAGAGACCCTCTCCTTCCTTCTGCCCCATCTTCTAAGTTGTAGAGGAACAGCCCCCTGAGCACTAGGGGAGGGGAGGGAGTGAGGGGCAGTGGTGCCCTTCCTGCTGGAGAGACGTGCAGCAGTAGCGCCGGGGCCATCTGCAGGGAGCTGGCGGGCTGGCCTTCTGGGCCCTGGCTTCTCCCCACTGTAACACCGTCTGTTACACACGAACTGTTGTGGGTTCCCGCCAGGCTTGAAGAAAATGATCTGAATTTCTTCCTCCTTCCGGTTTTATTTTGTTGGTTGATTTTGTGTTTTGTTTTCTCCTTTTTGGGGGGTATTCACAGTGGGCCGGGCCCCTGGGCGAGACACAGCTACCTCTGTTGGCATCTTTTTAATACCAGGAACCCAGTGGCTCCAGCCCCTGAGCGGCTAGAATGAAATAAAGTGGAAAAAGAAAAAAAAAAAGGAAAAGAACCAAAAGCATAAAAAAAAAACAACAGATTTCTTGATGAAAACTGAAAATAAAAGTTTCCTTGTATTTTAGTGCTCTGGTTCAGTGTGGGTGCAGGTGCAGGTGGGTGAGTGAGTGATGGGAGCCCTGGGACACGTGTAATTATAGAATAGGGGTTTCCTTGTATCAGAGTCCATGGGCGAGTTGAGTCTCCCATCTGTACACGTGTTCCGGGCAGGACGCTGTCCCCTGTGCACAGCCGCCACCCCCCACCGCCACCGGCGGTTCACAACCTGAGCCATGGGTGAGCCTGCGAAAGTTGGATTCTCCAAGCTGTAGAGATATCATGCATAAAATAAAAGGATCTTCCTCGCAGTGTGAAGATGGAACCAGGGCTGGAACAGTATTTTAACCAACCGAGCGCCACCTTGGTGTTTACGTGCAGAAAGGCTGAAGTCGGTTTTTCTGTTAACTTGCGTGGGTGAAATGTGGACACGNGTTCTTTGAGAGGATAAACAAAATTGATAAACCTTTTTCCAAATCATCAAGAATAAAAAGGAAATGATTCAAATCAATAAAATTATAAATGAAAGAAATTACAGCAGGCACCACAGGAATACAAAGGATCATAAGAGATTACTATACAAAACTGTATGCCAATAAAATGGACAATCTAGAAGAAATGGACAAATTGTCAGAAAGTCACAAACTTCCAAGACTGAATCAGGAAAAAACATAAAATATGAACAGGCCAATCAAAAGTAATGAAATTGAAACTGTGATTAAAAATATCCCAATAAACAAATGTCCAGAACCAGGTGGCTTCAAAGGCGAATTCTATCAAACATTTAGAGAAGAGTTAACACTTACCTGTCTGAAACTTTCAAAAAATTTCAGGGAACACTACCCAACTCATTCTACGAAGCCACCATCACCTTGATACCAAAACCTAAAGCAGATAGATATCACAAAAAATGGAAATTATAGGTCAATATCAATAATGACATAGATGCAAAAATCCTCACTCTATTCAATACTCTGTAATGGCCTATATGGGAAAAGAAGCTAAAAAGAGTGAAATTCGCAGGATGCGGCAAATGTGAGCCTCCTTCAGGGAAGAAGAGACAGCAAGCTGCAGTGTGCTTGCCAGCCTCTATTTGAAGCCAGAATGTTGCTGTTGCAATGGGATACCTCCAGCTCTGCTCAGCGCCCCAAATTTCAAGTGAGAGGGCTGTGAAAATCCCGTTTCCTTTGCAATCCTAGCACAGACATTGCTGGCTGAGAGCAGTACTGCCAATGGGGAAGAAAGCAGCGGGAGTGTGTTTGGCATGATTGGGTGCCCTCCTGGGCTCAGCTCTTCAAAGGGGCCTTTCCTCTCGAAGTAGGCCCCAAATCCCACTGGGGAAGGGCTTTGCCCCTCTCCCTTCTAGAGTGCCAATGGGTCGAACAAAGCTGGCTCTCTGAGAGGTAGGAAAAGAACAGTTGTGTGGAAGTTCATGCTCTTGCCAATCTGAACCACTTGAAGGCCCACTTGAGAGAATCAGTCGCCCTGGGGCCACTAGGTCGGGAATACAAGTTAACAGACAGGGTGTGTTCCCATTAGAGCCCAGAAATTTCCAGAGAGACCTTGGTTCGCTAGACCTCTCCTACAGAGCAAAAGGGAAGCAAGGGATGTGCACGTGGCTGTACCCTTCCTTTTGAGACTGGAACTACTCCCTAGTAGCCCAATCTCAGGGATAACTGCCCTTAAGAAAGGAACTCTAAGAAGTAGTTTTCCAGGATATAAAACCAATAGTTATTTAGTTTTAATTATTGAATTCAATCAACAGTAATTCTGTTCAGTGTTTCCTAGATCTTCCTAATGAATCTTGTTTTTGAGGAGTCTTCTGTGTCAGAGTGATTTTAATGTAGTTGTTTTATTATATTATTATTACTACTATTACTGTTACCGTTACTTCATTAATGTTTAGGGCATAGGACTGTTGACTGATTTTTCATGGGTCGTTATAGGCCATAGTCCTTGGCTCAGTGGTTAAGAACCCTCCTGCCAATGCAGAAGACCCAGGTTCGATCTCTGTGTTGAGAAGATCCCCTGGAGAAGGAAATGGCAATCCACTCCAGTAGTCTTGCCTTCAGAATCCCACGGACAGAGGAACCTGGAGGGGTACATGTCATGGGGTCACAAAAGAGTCAGACATGACTGAGAGACTAAACAACAACCATAAGTCAAATTTGTGATTTTTGGATTCATTCTGGCTATGCTAACAACTACTACATCATCTTTAAAGAACATTGTTTTATTGATTGTAAATCTTGCTTTTATCATTGATAGTTCCAAATAATTCCAGGTAGCAAGTTGCTATTTTCATAACACTTCTGCCTTAAATTAAAAGAAATACCTCATTTTAAGTTCTTATTGTTTCTAATTAGTAAGAAAGGAAAGTTTTTCAATAAATAAAAATCACACAGATGCATACACATATTGCATTTTTGAATGGGGACATAATGAACCAGGATTATTCACTTAGAGAACATGGAAAAAAGTAAATGATTAAAAATAATTTCATTATCCAAATGCCATGGTCTACATTGCTATACTCTATAAGTGGGTAGCAAACCAGAAAATATGAAATTCAATTCAAAAGGTAATACTTTAATAAAAGATAGAATATTTTTTATGAAAATATTGCTCTGATGAGGTCTACTGAAAAACTTTTTAATAATAATGACAATTTCTATATTCATTTAAATAAGGATACTAAAATAAGAACAATAGCATTGATGACACTGGATGTTTTATGTTTTCTTTATGCTATTTACTTTATATATGTTATTATTCTTTCTAATANTGAGGAAGAAAGCAGTGGGAGTGTGTTTGGTATGATTGGGTGCCCTCCTGGGGTTAGCTCTTAAATGGGGCCTTTCCTCTCATAGTAAGCCCCAAGTCCCACTGGGAAAGGGCTTTGACCCTCTTCCTTCCAGCCTGCCAATGGGTGGAACAAAGCTGGCTCTGTGAGAGATAGGAAAAGAGCAATTGGGGATATGTTCAAGCTCTTGCCCATCTGAACCACTTGAATGCCCACTCGGGAGAATCAGTCGCCCTGAGACACATAGGTTGGGAATACAGTTTAACAGACAGGGTGCATTCCCATCAGAGCCCAGAAATTTCCAGAGAGACCCTGGCTCACTAGACCTCTCCTACAGAGCAAAACGGAGGCAAGGGATGTGTGCACGTGGCTGTACTTTTCCTTTTGAGACTGGAATGACTCCCTAGTTTCCCAGGCTCAGGGATAACTGCCCTTAAGAAGGGACCTCTAAGAAGAGCTTTTCCAGGAGCCTGGGACAGTAAATTCGCAGGATGCATGTAATGTGAGCCTCTTTCAGGGAAGAAGAGACAGCAAATTATGGTGTGCTTGCCAGCCTCTCTTTGAAGCCAGAAGTTTGCTGATACAATGGGAGTCCTCCAGTACTGTTCAGAGCCCCACATTTCAAGTGAGAGTGCCGTGAAAATCCCGTTTCCTTTGCAATCCTAGCAGAGACCTTGCCTGCAGAGAGCTATCCTGCCAATGAGGAAGAAAGCAGCAGGAGTGTGTTTGGCATGATTGGGTGTCCGCCTGGGCTCAACTCTTCAAAGGGGCCTTTCCTCTCGAAGTAGGCCACAAATCTCACTGGGGAAGGGCTTTGCCCCTCTTCCTTTCAGCCTGCCAGTGGGTGGAACAAAGCTGGCTCTGTGAGAGGTAGGTAAAGAGCAGTTGGGTGGTTCATGCTCTTACCAATCTGAACCACTTGAAGGCCCACTCAGGAGAATCAGTAGCCCTGGGGCCCCTAGGTCGGGAATACAGTTTAACAGACAGGGTTCGTTCCCATCAGAGCCCAGAAATATTCCAGAGAGACCCTGGCTCACTAGACCTTTCCTACAGAGCAAAAGGGATGCAAGGGAAGTGTGCACATGGCTGTAGCTTTCCTTTTGAGACTGGAACATCTCCCTAGTAGCCCAGGTTCAGGGATAACTGCCCTTAAGAAAGGAACTCTTTTCCAGGAGCCTGGGACCCGAAATTCGCAGGATGCAGGAAATGCGAGTCTCCTTCAGGGACATGCGAGCCTCCTTCAGGGAAGAAGAGACAGCAAGCTGTTGTGTGCTTGCCAGCCTCTCTTTGAAACCAGAAGGTTGCTGATACAATGGGAGACATCCAGCTCTGCTCAGTGCCCCATACTTCAAGTGAGACGACCGTGAACCTCCCCCTTCCTTTGCAGTTCTAGGACAGATATTGCCGGCTGAGAGCAGTACTGCCAAAGAGGAAAGAGCAGCAGAATGTGTTTGTCATGTGCTTGTCTCACTAGAGCTTTACCACAGAGCAAAGCGGAGGCCAGAGATGTGTGCATGTAGCTGTTCCTTCCCATTTCAGAGTGGGGCTACTCCTTATTACCCCAAGCTCAAGGAAAAGTGCCCTTAAGAAAGGAACCCTCAGAAGCGCTTTGCCAGCAACCTGGGAAAGGAAATTCGCAGGATGCGGGAAAAGCGATCCTCCTTCAGGGAAGAAGAGAGAGCAAGCTGCGGTGTGCTTGCCAGCCTTTATCTGAAGCAAGAAGGTCGCTGATACAACAGGAAACCCACAGCTAGAAGAGCTTTCCCAGGAGACTGGGACAGGAAATTTGCAGAAGGTGGGAAAAGTGAGCCTCTTTCTGGGACGAATAGACAGCAAGCTGCAGTGTGCTTGCCAGCCTCTCTTTGAAGCCAGAAGGTTGCTGATACAACAGCAGACCTCCAGCTCTGCTGAACGCCCCATATTTCAAGTGGCAGGGCCATGAAATTCCATTTCCTTTGCAATCCTAGCACAGACCTTGCTGGTTGAGAGCAGTACTGCCAATGAGGAAGAAAGCAGTGGGAGTGTGTTGGCATGATTGGGTGCCCTCCTGGGCTCAGCTCTTCAAAGGGGCCTTTCCACTCGAAGTAGGCCCCAAATTCCACTGGGGAAGGGCTTTGCCCCTCTTCCTTCCAGAC